TGGCAGATGATTATGGCGCGACCACAGTTCGAGATTCATCCTCCTTAGCATAGAGGCATCGGGGGGAGCTACAAGCATGAAGGGAGGAAGAGCGACGCATGACACAAACGAGTTGCGAGCTACGAATGCGTGAGCTGGCCCTCTAAGGACGCTCTTCGGGCGCTCTTGGGCCCATCCTGGAGCCCTCGTGGGCCCCTCTTGGGGCTCTCTTTGGCCATCTTGGAGACACCTCAAGGCCGCAGAAACCCGTGGGAAGCGAAAAGGCGATAATACAATCATAATGCCTCATCCAGTGTCTTGGAAAAGATGGTGGCCTCTCGGAAGTGTCTTTAGAAGGTTCCGTGGCCATTTGGAGCCGCCTTAGGGCGGTCTTGGTGAGCCATCGTGACCGATCTTCTACCATCTTGGAGGTCATCGTGGACTCCGTGAGGCCATCTTGGAGCCATATTTGGCCATCTTGGACTGGCAGTAACTGCCAGGGGGACGGGCGAGAGGAGGAGCAACTCCTCTCCCGGAGGGGAAACACGGGGAGGAAGTGGTTTGGACCACCTCCGTTCCGAGGGCTTGTAGGATTCTTACCTTCCTGCTCATCTTCACTCATGCTTCGCCCTACTCCCCTTCCCCCTTCTTCCCCTCCCTGTTGCGGTCCGTCTCCGTGTGGTGTCCTTGCACCCTGTTTTCACGAGTTGCTATGTGATATTGATCCTGCTCGACGATTGCCATCCCCTCCTCCGTGTAACGCCTCGGCGCAGTTCTGCTCTGGTGAAGTGCACGTGTCCAGGACGGGGTCGCCACCGTCGCTCTGACCACCAGCCGAACTCAACGAGATGGGCTGTCATGAATCTCTGCTTCCACAATGCAGTGCAAACTCGAAGGGTAAGTAAAGTGCCAGCCGACAGAGCTGGCTCTGAGCCACAAGGGCTATTGTCAACAGGTTCCGAATGACAATTCTACGAACATTGGTATAGCGACTACGTTTACGATTACTACTACTACTACTGCTACTACTACTACTACTACTACTACTACTACTACTACTACTACTACTACTACTACTACTACTACTACTACTACTACTACTACTACTACTACTACTACTACTACTACTACTACTACTACTACTACTACTACTACTACTACTACTACTACTACTACTACTACTACTACTACTACTACTACTACTACTACTACTACTACTACTACTACTACTACTACTACTACTACTACTACTACTACTACTACTACTACTACTACTACTACTACTACTACTACTACTACTACTACTACTACTACTACAACTACTACTACCTACTACTACTACTACTACTACTACTACTACTACTACTACTACTACTACTACTACTACTACTACTACTACTACTACTACTACTACTACTACTACTACTACTACTACTACTACTACTACTACTACTACTACTACTACTACTACTACTACTACTACTACTACTACTACTAGACTACTACTACTACTACTAACTACTACCACTACTACGAGTAAAGGCGACGACTACCACTACTACTACTACGACTACTGCTACTACTACTACTATTACTACCACTACTACTACTACTACACTACTACTACTACTACTACTACTACTTACTACGACACGACTACTACTACAACTACTACTATACTACTACTACTACGACTACTACTACTACTTACTACTACTACTACTACACTACTACTACTACTACTACTAACTACGACTAATCACTACTACTACACTACTACTACTACTACTACTACTACTACTACTACGACTACGACTACTACTACCACAACTACTACTACTACTACTACTACTACTACTACTACTACTACCACTATTACTACTACTACTACTACTACTACTACTACTACTACTACTACTACTACCACGGCTACTACTGTTAATACTTCTACTAGTCGAACTACTCTTACTACAAAAACTACTACTACTACTACTACTACTACTACTACTACTACTACTACTACTACTACGATTACTGCTGCTACTACTACCACTACTACTATTCAAGCTACGACTACGACGACGACTACTACTACAACGACGCTAACCACGACCACTACTATAATTTCTACTACGGCTAATCTTACGAATACGATTGTTACGGTCGCTATTACAAACCATATTTCTGAGATGATTACTCTGACACTACTTGTACAATTACTACAATTACCACTGCTACTACCACTACTACTGTTATTATCACTACTATTACTACTACTACTACTACTACTACTACTACTACTACTACTACTACTACTACTACTACTACTACTAGTACTGCTGCTGCTACTACTACTACTACCACGACTACTGCTACGACTCCTACCACTACGACTACTATTACGACGACGACGACGACGACTACTACTACTACTACTACTACTACTACTACTACTACTACGACTAGCTCTACTACTGCTACTACTACTACTACTACTACTACTACTACTACTACTACTACTACTTCTAATACCACCAGTACTATTACTACTACTACTACTACTACTACTACTACTACTACTACTACTACTGCTGCTGCTGCTGCTACTACTACTACTACTACTGCTACTGCTACTACTACTACTACAACTACTACTACTGCTACTACTACAACTACTACTACTACCACCACCTACTACTACTACTACTACTGCTACTACTACGACTTACTACTAATACAACTACTACTACTTCTTCTTCTACTACTACTACTACTACTACTACTTTCACTACTACTACGATCACAACAACAACTACTACTACTACTACTACTAATACGACTACTTCTTCTTCTTCTTCTACTACTACTACTGCTACGACTACTACTGCTACGACTACTACTACTACTACTACTACTACTACTACTACTACTACTACTATTACTACGAATACCCCTTATTTCGACTACGGCTACTACTCTCACGACTACTAGTACGACTATGTGTATGATGATTTTTATTACCAGTAATACCGTTGACAAGCGTAACAGGAAAGACCACAATGTCAATAATCGTTTGTTTCTCTATGCATATATACTCTTATCCAACCTGCCACCAGAAACATAATATGCGTACTACTGATCAAAAGTATTCCTAATATACGCATATGCGTGCTAACTAATAATAAGAATGCGTACACACTCTAACATTCATACTCACGATGATAATATGATTGATTATGATATTATGATATGATCATGCGTAATAGTAGTACGACGACTGCTACTCCTACTACGAATACTAATATTGATGTTGATAATCATAATAATACTAATAATACGAATCATCATGTCACCGTCGCTCTGACCCCCAATCCTGCTCCTGCTCCCTGCGCTCCTGCTGGCCGAGGCCCTCCGAGGCCCGCCGGCGGCCTCCGAGGGCCTCCCAGCCCGGCACGGGGGCCCCGCGGGTCCACACTGCGGGCCTGCGCGCGCGAGGGGCCCCGCACCTCTGGGCGCAGTGCCTCGCGGCGCGCGTGCGGCAGCCTCTTCGGCTCGGGCCCCGGGCTGCCCTCGGCGGCCTCGGCGCCTGGCTTGCCCTGGATGCAGGCGCTGCGGCGCGCGACATCATCCCAGGGCCCCGGAGGCCGGGGGTTTCTGCAGACCGGGGCGCTGCAGGGTCTCGTCTCGGGCGACGGCGTGCACGCCCAGCGTTGAAGAAGTAGGTCTGCTTGTGGATGTCCAGGTCCCAGGTCCCAGTCTATTTCCAGCGCCTGCCTGCTTCGAGAGTCGAGCGGTTGTCCCTCTGCCCTCCTCCTCAGGGGGCGGGCGGAAGTCCAATCCGCTTCCAGCGCCTGCCTGCTTCAAGAGTCGAGCGGTTGTCCCTCTGCCCTCCTCTTAAGGGGGCGGGCGGAAGCCCAATCTGCTTCCAGCGCCTTCCTGCTTCATGTTTCACACACTCCTTCCGACCGACGAGTATCCGTACTCACGGCCGCGTGGGCCCAGACCCTGGGCCCGCGAACCCGCCGAGACGGGGCGCTGTTTCGGAGACGTATCCGTGCGACCTCGCATTGGCGGGGCCGCGCCTCGGAGCCCCGACCGCGAGGGTGCGGATACGGACGGCCCGTCGCTCGTGAGGCCACGGCAGGGCGCGCTCCAGACAGGTCGTCGCCTCTTCTGGGAACCGGGCGAGTTGGCAACGCTTTCCTCGGCGGAAGGCGGCGGAAGGCGGCGGAAGCAGCAAGAGAGACGACCTCCGTCGGCAGAAGCCTTCAGAAGTAAAAAACGCATGAGACCCACCGGGAGGAAGCTCGACCAAAAAACCAGCGCGACACTTTTTCACCTACAGCCCTCCATGTTGCGCTAAGGCCTCTCGGGCGCCGTAGCGTATACCTCGCGAAAACCTGCGCCAGACCTCCCAGCATACGCTAAGCCATTGGGCGCCGTAGGCGGGGCGGTGTCGTTTGTGTTCTGGTCCAGAAGCGGGGCATGAGTCGACTGCATGCAAGAGGGACCTTTCGCTGGAGTGACCTTTGGTGCGGGCTCACCAGGGCCCCCCCCCCGATCGCTGAGCGCGATGCGGTAATTGCTGCCTGTGCGCATAGATTTGGCCACCTTGCACCCCTTTTGCTCCGCTCCCCAAATGTCACTCTTGCCCAGGGTCACCCTTGCGTGTAGCCCACGAGTGCAAGTCTCGGCGGCGAGTGAGGAGAGTGAAGTGAGAAGGAGAAGGCCTTCTCAGAAGGTTCGGAAGTCCCCCGGCCTTCTGAGAAGCTCTCTGAGCCGAGCCTGCCCCGAAGACAGACAAATCAAGCTCCTCAGAGGGCGCGAGGGCCTCTGAGCAGTCCCGCCGCCTTCTGAGAAGGCCTGCTGCTTCTCGCTCGCCGCCGAAGGAGGGCTGCCCCGCAGCTTCTGCCCGGCTGCGCCCAGCGCTCCGCGTCAGCAGCAGCCCCTCGTCGGCGGGGCCCCGACCGTCGGCCGTCGCGTCTGCCGCCGTCGGCCCCTAGGCAGCCCGAGGGGCGGCCATGTCTCTGGAGGGGAGCAGCCAGCAGCTCCCGCGGATCGTCGGGAGCCGGCTGGGCGGCAGGCCCCGGGCCTCCTGTCATCCAGGAGAGAGGAGCCCCTGACCCTGACATTAAGTCGGGCATATCCCTCTGCAGGAGGAGTACTGCAGAGTAGTCGAAAAATACTGTGGTGGCGATGTTCCGATGATTCATTGTTGAACAGTTTTTGACTATTTGTTGCATCGTTTCAGTGTCTCCTTCAGAACACGACTGTAGGAGGACATGCCCGACCTAGCCCTAATATCACGATGAAGGCGTAGCCTCACTGAGGTCACCGTCTTTGCAATTGGGATAACAGATCTGGGCGGTCTGATTCGATACATTTGCAGAGACGACCCCCTATCCGTAATGCTGTTCGCCCTCCTAACTTGGGTCCCCTCCCAAAGGGTTAGGGGTCCTTTCATTGCTAATCATCCTGGATGGGGCCCGAGCGAATGGGGTGGCAGGCTCGCGCCGCATCGGCGATGCATCGGCGATGCGGTGCGATGCGGAGCCCGACTTTCTCCACGGCGGCGGCGCTCGTGTATCGCTGGTGCATCGGCGATGCGGCGCGATCCACGGGCCCCAGCTGTTCGGGCTTGATCTGGGAGGCCTTCACAGGTACTGTCTGGGCAGGAAGCTCGGCAGCGGCTCTTTCGGGGAGATCTACTTCGTGGTGGACACCCACACTGGCGACGAGCTGGCGGTGAAGCTGGAGGCCGTCAATAGCAAGTACCCCATGCTGTTGTTCGAGGCCAAGGTCACGAAGCACATGCAGGGAGCCCCAGGATTTGCAAAAGTGCAGTATTTCGGTGTGGAGGGCGACTACAACGTTATGGTGATGGATCTGCTGGGCCCGTCCCTTGAAGACCTCTTCAACCTGTGTCAACGACGCTTCAGCCTGAAAACAGTGGCGATGATCGCAGACCAGATGCTGTACAGGATCGAGCACCTCCACTCGAAGAGCTTCATACACCGCGATATTAAGCCAGACAATTTCCTCATGGGGACCGGGAAGAAGGATACCGTCCTGCACCTCATAGACCTTGGCCTTGCGAAGAAGTATCGAGACCCGAAAACGCTGCAGCACATACCCTTCGCGGAGGGGAAAAGTCTCACGGGTACAGCTCGCTATGCGTCCCTCAATGCCCACATTGGTGTCGAGCAGAGCCGCAGAGACGACCTTGAAGCCATAGGATACGTCCTGATGTATTTCAACCGTGGTAACCTTCCGTGGCAGGGCGTGCACGGTGCCACAAAGCAGGAGAAGTCCGCCAAGATCTTGGATGTCAAAATGCGAACCCCGGTTGCTACCATCTGCGAAGGGTTCCCACTTGTTTTCTCCGTGTACCTCAACTACTGCAAGGCTCGGGGGGAGGGTCCAGAACCGGCCATGGCCCAAGCTGGTCCGAGGCTTTCCGAGGAGGCCCCAGGGGTCTCTCCAAGGCATCCCTGCCACGATGCCCAGAGGCCCCCAGGGGCTCCGCAAGGGGGCGACACAAGCCAGGGGCACCCTGGGTCATGGCCACCTCTGGCCGCACCCGTGGAGGCCCTCCGCTTCGACGACCGGCCCGACTACGCCTACCTCCGCGGCCTCTTCAAAGACTTCTGCCAGCAGGAGGGCTTCGCCAACGACGGAGTCTACGACTGGACGCAGCCCCCCAGCGGCAGCAGCACCACGGCCGCCAGCCGCCAGCGGCACTGCGGCGAGGCCTTGGGGCCCGGCGGGCGCGAGGGGGGCGCGGACGGCGCGGCCAAGGATCAAGCAGTGGCGAAGCGTCTTGGCTCGCCTGTGGGCCCACCAAAGAATGTTCCAAGAACCGTCTGTGGTCTGCGCGACATGTGCTCAGCACGCTTCGGGCCGTCGGCTTCTGAGAGCATGGTGCTTGTTCTCAGAGCATGTTTGGGTTCTACGAGCCTGTCGCGGTAGGCCTCTCTATGAAAGCCAGGACGGTCGGCCCCTGCTCCACAAGGAGGCGGCGGCACACCCGAGCCCCGGCCGGGTAGGCCCGGGTGCTTCCCGCCTCGAGCCGGCGCACGTCGCGGAGAAGTCGGCGGCGACCGCTGGCGCGGCCACCCCGAGGAGCAGCAGCCTGGCGCCGGGGAGCCCGCGCGGCGTGGGGGACTATGGCGGGGAGGAGGCGGCCAGGCCAGGCAGCGGCGCGGGGAAGCGGCCAGGTGGCCTCTTCTCGTTCTTCGGGTGCTGCTCCAGCGCGGCGTGCAGGGATTGAGCTTCCTGGCCGGGCTGCCGAACCAGGCGGCTAGCGGTCCTCGTCACGGCATTTCTGTTCCCCCCCCCCTGGCCCACCCCTCCGCTTTCCCGTGATCCTCTCTCCTTCTGTGACCTTTCCTTGGCCGGGGGCTCCTCGCGCAGACTTCCACGGCTTTGTGTTGCACGGCACCACGGAATGCTCGCTGCCGATGCCCAGAAGTCTGGGCTGGCATGACGTCTTAAGCGGGGGGGGGCTGACCATAGCACCCCCTCGCCCACCTGGAAGAATCCGGGAGCTCCGCCCGCGGCACGTGTCCGCAAATGGTCGGGCATGACGCGCCGGCAAGAGCCCCCACCGCGGCCACCAGCAGCGATGACAACGCTCATGATTACCTCTGTTATCCTTGTCCTTGCGGTCGGGAACTTGTTGGATAGCGTGTCGCTCCGCAGGTTCTGGTTCACCGCGTTTGGATGCAACTCCTGGGAGGTCAAATTCTGATTTTGCCCTGGTCGGAAATCCGGCTAAATCCGGCTAAATCTGGCTTAATCCCGCCTAATCCGGTTTAATCCTGCTTAGTCCCGCTTAATCCGGCTGAATCCTGCTTAGTCCGAGGCCCACTCCGGCGTAACAGCTCCAACATGGGGCTTCATATTTTTAAATTTTTCCGGCGAAAGCCTCCTAGTAGTTGCCTCCTAGACCACGGTTTGGCGCGGCACGCGGTCCGCGTCCTCGTCCCCGAGCGTCAGCGCTCCGAGCGCTCCCCAGGCCTCCCGCCCCGCGAAGCGGAAACGCTGTCCGCTCGCGGGGCATCGGGTGTCGCCTGGGCCGCCGCGGCGACACGCTATGCACAAGTCCCCTGCCGTGTCAGCTGTACCTGTGTTATCGGTATGATGATGTTGATGATGATGCTGCCGATGATGGTGATGATGACGCTGATGATGCTGATGCTGATGATGCTGATGATAATCATGGTGGTGATGATGATGATATCGATGTTGATAATGCCGATGATGATGATGATGATGATGATGATGATGATGATGATGATGATGATGATGATGATGATGATGCTGCTGCTGCTGCTGCTGCTGCTGCTGCTGCTGATGATGATGATGATGATGATGATGATGATGATGATGATACTGATCATGATGATGAAGCTGATCTTGATGATGATGGTGCTGATGTTGGTGATGCTGGTGCTGATAATGCTGACAATAATGATGGCTCGGATGATCATGATGATGATAATGATGATGCTTATGCTGGTACTGATGATAATGCTGGTAATGATGTTAGTGATGATGCTGCTGATGCTGCTGATGATGATGCTGATGCTGCTTACGATGATGATTATGACGATGATGACTATGATGCTGATGCTAATGATGATGGTGATGATGATGATGATGACGATGAGGATGACGAGGATGCTGATGATGATGATGAATATGATGAATGATGATGATGATAATGATGATGATGATGATGATGATGATGATGATGATGATGATGATGATGGATGGTAATGATGATTGATGATGATGATGATGATGATGATGATGATGATGATGATGATGATGATGATGATGATGCTGATGCTGATGATGATGATGATGATAATGATGATGATGATGATGGTGATGATGATGATGCTGATGATGATGATGATGATGATGATGATGATGATGATGATGATGATGATGATGGTGATGGTGATGGTGATGATGGTGCGCCAACCTGTACCTGTACCCAGCTGGCGATGGTGATTCCGTGACGGTGGCGATGATTTGGCGCAATTGCGGGCAGCGTCGGCCCTGCGGAGCGATGCGCGGGCGCGCGGTTCATTCGACGGCAGGCCCTGCGCTCGCGAGCGCTCCGCCGAGCTCGGTCTCTCCACAGGCCAGGCGAGGGCACTGCCCACACCCCGACCGCGTCGTTCCCTTGCCCTCTTTGCCCCGAAGCAGAGAGTTACCAGTTTGAAGCAGATCCCTATCCCTATGTTTCGCATGTAATCGTTTTCTTCTTCATTGTTTTGCCGATCGGCGCGGGCCCTCGCTCCATCCCCCCCTCGTGGAGCAGATCTTGGGTGTTTTTGGAGCCTGTTTCGGGCAGATGGAGTCCCCCCCAGAGGACGCGCTCGCAAACATTCGCATGAAGCAGCGGTCCGGAGTCAGACCCCCCCCCTCCTCCCCCTCCTTTCCGCCCAATGTCGAAACGTCCGGCGTCCGCACGGGCAGAGTCAGGCAGGGCCTGCCCTTCGGCACGGAGAGCTGCCACGAGCAGGCGCAGCGCCGGAGGCTCCGCATACGGCCCCTCGAAAGCCCACAGCGTCGGGCTGCGCAGGCGCCACCGCGCTCGCGATCAAGAGGAGAGGGCCTGCCCCGAAGGCCCGCTCGCACGCTGCCTTCCTCCGCACCTCTCGCCCCGAGCGAGCGGCCAGCTCGGCTGCGCCCTCGCTGGCGCGCTGGGCGCCTGGGCGCGGCGCCCCGAGCTCGCGGGCCTCCGGCCCGGACCCCCCCCCCCCGCCGCGTCCGAGCGACGGCGAGCGCCCCCTCGGCGTGCTGTCAAGGCCTCCCGCGTGGTGTCGGTGTCTCCCCGGAGGTTCTCGCGTGGTGTCGAGGCCTCCCGCGTGGTGTCGGGGTCTCCCGCATGGTGTCGGGGTCTCTCGGGGCCTCCCGCGTGGTGTCGGGCCCCCCGCGTGGTCCCCGACGCCGCGCCTCGGCGCCGCCGCGCCCCTGCACGGCGCCACCGCGCCCCTGCCCTCGCGGCGCCCTGCCCAGGCCCCAACCGTGGCCCGGCCCCGCTGCGCCGGCGGCCAGCGTCGGTGCCCGCGCCCCGCTCTTCATGGGCCCACTTCCCAGCATTACTGCCACAGGTAGGGGAGGGAGGAGGAGGAGGAGGAGGAGGAGGAGGAGGAGGAGGAGGAGGAGGACCGAGGACCTCCTCATCCTCTATTCTCCCCCGTCCTGCCTGTGGGAGTGGTGGTGGAAAGTTGGGCCCTCACTCTTCTCCGCGCCTCGCCGGAAAAAAATGCGCGCCTTGCCCCAGTCGGTGCAGCCGCAGGCCCGCGAGGCTCGCAGTCGGAGGCGACTTTTCGGTCCTTGCTTGGGACGATTTTTTTCGGTGGCAGGTTGTGGGAGCCTCGTGTGCCTTCGTATTTGCTTGTCTTCAGCGTCGACTAGCGTCGATTTAGCGTCTGGGAGTCGATGAGATAGCGCCGATGTAGCTTCGGCTAGCGTCGACCAGCGTCGATTTAGCGTCGATTTAGCGTCGACCAGCGTCGATTCGCAAGAGCCGACAAGATGGTATGGGAGGCTCCCATGAGTTGCCACCGAACGTTTTCTTTTGATCCTTTGCTGATGCAGTCAACCCGCATAGGTAGGATGAGCGGCTTTCCAAGGTTGCCCTTGCATCCTTCCCTGTTGGCCCATCCGGGGCCGCTCTCGCTGGCTGCGCCCCCTTCGATGCAAACTGTTGGCATGGCCTCCCAGGGCACTTGCATCCTCATTGTGCGTCCTTGTGATACGAGTTGACTGTAACGGCCGTTACGGGGGGAGGGGCGGGGGGGGCCAAAAACGACACGATTCGCGCTGGCGCCGTCTGGGAATTAGTTGCCCCTAGCCTTTCCCAGACGGCGCTGGCGCGAACGGTGAAATTACCAGGTGGAGGGGGGCAGTGGGGGAGCATCCCCGGTAAGGATTGTTATCGCGAATCGTAAGAAACGCGTTCCTTCGCCCGTGGTACCTTGCAAGGCTTCTGGTGTCTGGATCTGCTCGGCGCGCTAGACCCATTCGCGATGAAGACTGAATCACGTTCAATCACGCTCAGACTCACTCAGGCTCATATTCACTTGAAACTCCGGTTCTCACACTCATTCTCCGCACGCTCAAACTCAGTCTGTTTTCAGAATCGTCCAGAATATGCAGACGCAGACTCACTCATACTCCGACTCGCTAACACGTAGTCTCGTATTCTGAGGTGGTCACATTCAAACACACTCGAACTCACATTCATCCTCACTCACACCCAGCATACGCAGACTCTGACTCACTCATACTCCGACTTGCTCACGCTCGGAATCGTACTCAAATTCACTTGCACTGAGACGCGCTAATATTCAGACTCATGTGCACTCAGACTGACCGCGATGCAGCAGGCATCGCACTTGGTCCTTCAGGGGATAGCCAGCACGGGGTGTGTCACTGGCCCGTTCACGCCCAGATTGTCGGGACCTCGTTTTTACCCAGTGAACGTGTTTCTTCCCAGGGCCCCTCATGATCACCGCGATGTACCAGGCATCCCACCCGGGCGTCCCACGGGGGGTTCGACCAGGGGTGTATCACTGACCCCTTCGCGCCCAATTTCTGTGGATCTCTCAGGCAGAAAGCCTGGATTGGCCCAGTGGACGAGTCTCTTCCCAGAGCCTCATGATCAGCGCAATGTGGCAGGCATCGCACGTTGATCTCCAAATTGGAGACTGGCCAGGGGTGTATCACGGGCACGTTTTCGCCCAAAGTTTCGGGACCTCTCATGAAGAACGCCCGTTGCGGCCCAGTGGGCGTGTCTTTTATCAGAGCCGCATGATCGCATGTTCACCGCGATGTAGCAGGCATCGCATATGGCCGTCCAAAGCAGGGCCAAGCAGGGGTATATTCTGGGCCCGTTCGCGTCAAGGATGTCGGGACCTCTCAGACACGTCGTCGTTGTGGCCCAG